ATTATTTTTATGAAAATCTGTTTCTAAATTTAATATTTTTTCCAATTTTGAAAAATTTTTAATGCTTTTTATGACGTATTTTTTGAATTATAATAATATATATCTTTAATTTAATAACAGGTCCTTAAAACTTTGGTTTTCACAATATTTTTCTAAATTACAAGGTCACTGTCAAATACTGCGTTAGAGATCACAATTATATTAGTTACAAAAAAGAAGATAACTCCCACACCCTGAAAAGTAGAGAGTAGGGATAGCAAAATTACTACGGTGGCATTACAAACAAGCCAATCAATTGGCCTTTCCAAAGGAATGGCTAAGAGTGATAGTTCAATATTACATTATGAGGCTCTTGATATCCTAACGTAGCTAAATAGTGGATGGTCGTGAGCAATAGTTCAGTCTCACATCAAATTTTCGAATAATTTAGCAAACATTGTATTGTATTTTAATATTTGATATTTGCTAAATTATTCAAATAATAGGTAAAATATTCAATTATTTTTTAAGAAAACAAGTGAAAAGAAATTTGAAGATGTATTGCAGAATATTCCTGAAGAATAATTGAATACCATCGAATGTATCTTGTAGAAAAAGTTTTGCAATTAGCTTTTCAATTATTTTTCACATTACTTCAAAAAGTTGCAATGCATATTCAAGAATATATTTTGCAAGTAGCTTCAATTATCTTTCATTTTTTTAAAAAAAGTTTTCAATAATCTTAAAGAGTCTTTAATTTTTTTATGAGTATTCATTAATCTTTCAAAGTTTTCAACGTATGTTAAAAAAAAAATCTACAAGTATTTTCAATTATCTTCCACCTTTCTTCGAAAGTTTCCAATCATTTTCAAGAATTTTCAATTTTTTTTCATGAGTCTTCGTTAATCTTAAAAAATCTTCAATATGTCTTCAATATCATTGGAAGATGAAAGAAGAAAAAAAATTAATGATTAGCTCCAATTATCTTCCACCTTGTTTCAAATGTCTTAAATAATTGAAGGGGTTTTGAATATTCTTTGAAAAATTGGTTGATAAAAAAAAAAATCCTGCAAAATATCTTCAATAGTTTTTAATTGTTCTTCAGGAATTTACAATGTGTCTTTAAATTCGTTTTACTTGCAATGGTTTTCACATGCTTTCGTTAAATGTTCGAATATTTTATTTATTATATGAATACTTTAGAAAATGTTTGAATGTTTTAAAAAAGAAAAAAATTATATATCTAGTGAAATTCAAAAACGATAGCCAAGTTTTTAAAACTTGAGTTTAATTTAAAATTCGGCTATAAGGATAATAATACTATTATTACATATATGTTACATCAATCAAATAATTAATTTATAACTATTTCTTTAACAATTTATGACTATAATTTTAACTTTTTTTACAATTGTAACTTCACATATCTAATAATTAAACAATTATGTGTTATTAACAAAATTTAATATTACAACTATTTTATTACTAACTTACAAGCATAATTTTAACTTTTTATAAATGTAACTTCATATATTTAATAATTAATTGATCGGTTTAGTTATTAAATATGTAAAGTTATAGTTGTAAAAAGTTAAAATTATAGTTATGAATTACTAAAATAATTATAAATTATTTAACTGATGTAATGTAGATATGTTTAATAAGGATATTATTATCTTTTTATTTTAATTTTAAATTACACTTAGTTTCTAAGGGACCTCAGTTATAATTTTTAAATTTTAAGAGACTTATTGATAAATAAATTTACTCTTGAGACTTTTATATAATTTTTTCTTAAAAAATTTTTGAAAATCGAACGTCTTATTCTAAAAAATTAGGTCCCTTGAGGAAAATATCCAAATAAATATATAATATTCCTGAAATATTTTCCAAACTTATTAAAGGGGTAATTAAGTCTCTTCATGTTTAGACATAATTCTTTTTGAGGACCATGGTCTTTTAAAATATTTAATCCACACTGAGGTTCATTTACCCAAATGTCACAGTCAATTGGTGGTTTTTACCGACTTTCCCATAAAATTTCTGCATAGTGAACCTTAACCACTCGGTCAAAAATAAAAAAAAAGAATAACCACAAGCTATATGTAGATATATATTAGATATACTTTTCCGGCCAACATCGGCATATAATTAATAGATTATTAGATATACTTATTATAATGCAAATGGAAAGAATTAAGAGCACATCAGCATTACATCTTATAATATTAATAAAAATTATCCTAAATATTCGCCTTCATGAGTTTAGTTACTAAGAACATATTTTAAGAACAAACAAATAATAAAAATAAATATTTTTTATTCTCTTTTATTTTTCATAATAATAATCACATACTTAAAAGTTGTTTTTATTTTTTTATTTTTCAGAATACTTTTTAAAAATACGTTATTAAATAAATTTTTTTATTTTTCTATTTTGGGAAACATAAAACTATTTTTATATTTTTAAACAGGCCCTAATTTTTTGGATAACGATATTAATTCAGCGAGTAATTTAAAATAAAAAAAAGTTTGTTTTCCCTATAAATGAGCACTATCAACTTCAATTACCTATGACTCTTTTTTGGCCAAAAAAAATGCAGTCACCTATCACCCAATTCTAAATTCAGTTAATGGTGGGTAAAATCTATAATTCAGGCTAGCTGGACTCTTAGTCTAAATAAAACTTAAACTTATAAAATAACTTAAATAATAAAATAATAATATAAACAAATTAGGCTTTAGACTAACTTAAATATTTAAATTATTAAATATTTTTTATTTTGAAGCTTATTTTAGTTTTTGTCACATATTTTTGTGACGCTTAAAATATGGTAGACTCAATATTTTTTTAAAAAGTTATGGGTCATGAAGTTTAAAAACTAGATTAAAATACATTTCTAAAATTTTTTGTAGATAATTTACAAATTTAAAATTATAAAATATAACGAGATAAATATTTTAATTTTTAAGAAAGTATCTATAATAATGACTCAACTATACATAGTCTTTTAATATAAAATAAATGAAGTCTTAAGGAATTAATTAATACTTCTTCTATTTAAAAATATAAGGCATTTTTTGAGGAGTTGGATGTTAAAAAATATAAGGCATTTTTAATCTTTCAAAATATAATTATTGCTTTTTTTTAGTGTCTCTATTAATAATGATTTTATATTTATTTAAGGTGTTTAATAGGGATAACTATGAAAAGATAGGGTCAGTTAAAAAGTAAATAACTACTTTATTTAGGAGTGAGATTCAGTTAAAAATATCTTACATTTTTTAATGGAAGGAGTATAATATATATATATATATATATATGTAATGTTTTTTTCTAAATGTAAAAAGCATGTAGGCCTGGATTTTGTTTCGTCTATTTGGACTACTTTGAATATACCCAATGTTGAAAACAATACTTATGCCTGGCTAAATTTTTTTTGAAATTTTAACTCAAATTATTATATCTATTAATAAAAGTTTTTGTCATTTAAATAAATGATCGAATATTTAAATCCCAACTTTTATTTGCATAACAATTCAATTGAGAGATGTCTATACTTTATTTCCGTAATCTCAAAAAAGATAGTATTTATTATTGATGGAGCTTACTCCAATAATGATAAAATAAGCACACTAAAGAATTTCTTTGATTTATGGTATAATGATGGGTTGAGCAAAGCGCGAAGATTGTATATGTTCTTCACTAAACGGCAAAAGCGACTTACTTTTATGTAGTCAATATTCAATAAGATACTGATTAATAATTAATCGTAATCCGAATTTTTGAAGGTTTGGGGATGGAGGCCAAAAGGGAATCAATAGTCAGAAAAGGTCATAGCTCGCCTACCGTTCTTAGAAAAAAAATTTTTTGGATACAAAAATATTAATGAAATTATCAATAAGTTATACTAAATGTTCTTTAAGTTTTATTGATATTATTTTGAACTTTTTCCAAATTTGGAATTTATACAGTCTTTCCTTAAAAATGAAAAGTAAAGCACACAAACGGTCCTCTGTTTTATTAAATTTTTAAAAATTATGACCATTTTTTAAATGAAAAGGAGATCAAGAGTATTGCATAGCTAATTTCAATGAAAAATAAAAAAAAATCTGTATCATCTAAAAATAATAATAATATACATACATGCATGCAAGTCCTTCTAAACATGCATACAGTTCAATATGCATTTAGTATTATCTAATTGTCAAGTCAAATTATGATATTTCATACTATTAGAATTTAAAAAAAAAAAAACCCAGAGTTTGAATTCTCAAACTTGCTCAGTTGAAAACAAATCTCTCTCTCTCTCTCTCTCTCTCTGTTTTTTTTTTTTTTTTTTAATGAACTTCAGTGGCTAAACTTATATCTAGTTTCACAAGATATTGACTTTTACGTATAAATTCCGCAAAGGTTTTCTTTCCTCGTATGTTTTTTTTTTTGGGAGAATAATAAATAAGTCCTATCAAAATAAACAAATAATAAATAAATATCACAAAATGACATCATTACTTTGAAGTTTTGATAACTTATATGACATGAATTTTTTTATAAAATTATGATTCTGACCTTCAATAAAATAATAAAAATGTAATTGTTAAAACCTATAATGAAATTCTTACAAACAAAAGCAAAGTTGTTGTGACTAACAATACATCTAATTATAAATTTAGTCTAGTTGTACAATAACAACCACGCTTTTTATATTACAAGATTTACTTTTCTTAATTAGTAACAACTTTATTTTAAATTTTAATAAACACTTTTTATTATTTTATAGAGGCTTAAAAATGCAATTTTATAAATAATTATGATAGATAAGTCCTTTGATATTATATTAATTATCTCATCTCATGTTACAAAGGATTTATTTATCATTTATTTATTTATTTATTTTTACGGAAAAAAACAGAGAACGAGTGGGTAATTACGACTAAAGCCTCCTCGTTTGACTAATGATACGCCAATTTTAGAAGTTAAAACCATCTCATCAATATTACTTTGAATTGTGAACAAAGTCCAAACAAGAAAGGCCACTTGGTTCGCTAGCACCATCTTGTGGGCTTGGAGCTTCATTCAGCTTTTGGCACCTGAATTCTTCTAGCCTTCCTTATCCTATAGCGACGTGCCAGCAAGCAACAATCAAAGGAAACGAAAAAGCTATAATTATCTGAAATCTTAAAGAGTAATTTCATTCATCTTTTGTTCTGTACATGAAATTCCGTCCTGTCTTCTTCATCAGAAGATGACCCTGATTCGCCGTACCATCACCGCATTCTTCCTTTCTTTGTCCCTGTTTTGCCTTTCCATTCTCGTCGTCGTCGATTCTTACGATCCCGTTGACATCTTCAGCATCAACTGTGGTTCTCGTGGAAATTCTTCCCTAGGAAACAGGACATGGATTGGAGACATCGATTCAAAGCTCTTGTCTTCTTCACAAGACAAATCCAGTCCTGCTACTGCAATCAATCAATCTCCCTCCACCATTCAGGTTCCGTACACCACAGCTCGTCTCTCTCGTTCTAAGTTCACCTATTCTTTTCCTGTTACTCCAGGTCAGAAGTTCGTTCGCCTTTTCTTCTACCCAACCTCGTACCCAGGTTTTGATTCCTCTAATGGCTTCTTCACGGTGGAATCCGGTGGGTTTACTCTGCTTAAGGACTTCAACGCTTCTCTCAATGCTCTGGCTGAAGGTAGTGACACCTTGCTCAGAGAATATTGCGTCAACGTCGATGATGCTGGGAGGCTCAACTTGACCTTTTCTCCTAACTCGACGAACCCAGATTACTATGCTTTCATCAATGGAATCGAGATCGTCTCCATGCCTACTGACCTTTACTACACAGAATCCGACGGTCAAGGGGTTCCATTTGTGGGTCGTAGTGGAAGCTTTTTCACTATCGGAAATAACTCTGCTTTGGAAAAAGAGTATCGGCTTAACGTTGGTGGAAAAGCAATATCTTCTGATTACGACACGGGGATGCTCAGGTCTTGGGAACCAGATGATTCTTTTGTGAAGTCTCCGAGTTACTTACCTGTTCAAATTCTACCTGTGAATCTTACTTACAGCATAGAACCTGATTATACAGCACCTGTTGATGTCTATTTAACAGCAAGAGATATGGGAAAAAACGCTACTTGGAACAAGTTGAATAACCTTACTTGGGAATTCTCTGTAGATTCTGGGTTTACCTACATGGTTAGGCTTCACTTTTGCGAGCTTGACCCAAACATTACATCTTCTAGTGACAGAGCGTTCTTCATCTACATAGCTGGACAGGTTGCTGAGGATAACGCAGATATTCTGAAATGGGGAAAGCAAAAAGGGGTTCCGGTTCACAGAGATTATGTTGTTTCTGTAAGAGGAAATCAGAAGAAGGAGAAGCTTTTGCTCCAAATGCATCCTCTCCCAGATAGCAAAACTGTTTACAGCGATCCGATCTTGAACGGACTTGAGATTTTTAAAATCAGCGACCCAGCAAGCAATAATCTCGCCGGACCCAATCCTGACCTTCCACCTCTTCCTCTGACGCCACCGACGTCAGTTCAGAAATCCAAAAAAAGTAGCAGTAATACAACGACAATAGTCGGCGTCGTTGTTGGTGTGGTTGCCGGCATCATTTTACTCTTCATTATTGGTGCTTTCTTCCTCATCAGACGGGGGAAGAGGATCAAGGATTCAAAGTCCAGTGATGCAGGCTCCAAGTGGGGTCCACTGTCGCATTCCACGGCGAAATCCACCACCACGACTGCCTCCACTCTGCCGTCCGATCTCTGCCGTTACTTTTCAATCGCTGAGATCAGAGCCGCCACCAACAACTTCGACGAAGTCTTTATCATCGGCATCGGAGGATTCGGCAACGTGTACAAAGGCTACATCGACGACAGCACCATCCCGGTGGCGATCAAGCGGCTTAAACCGGATTCACAACAAGGGGCCCACGAGTTCAAAACCGAGATTGAAATGCTCTCACAGCTTCGTCACCTTCATCTAGTTTCTCTTATAGGTTACTGCAACGAAAACAACGAGATGATCCTGGTCTACGATTTCATGGCTCGTGGGACCCTCCGTGACCATCTGTATAACTCCGAAAACCCACCTCTTACATGGAAGCAAAGGCTTCAGATTTGTATCGGAGCAGCAAAGGGATTGCATTATCTTCATTCAGGTGCGAGATATACTATCATTCACCGCGACGTGAAGTCGACGAATATCTTACTCGACGAGAAATGGGTTGCCAAGGTTTCCGACTTCGGACTATCCAGAATCGGACCGACGGGCATGTCGAAGGCTCACGTCAGCACAGTGGTGAAGGGCAGTATGGGGTATTTAGACCCAGAATACTACAAACGCCAACGTTTGACTGAGAAGTCCGACGTGTACTCCTTCGGCGTGGTGCTGTTCGAGATATTATGCGCCAGGCCGGCGCTGATACGTACGACGGAAAAGAAACAGGTGTCACTTGCTGATTGGGGCAAGCATTGCTACCAAATGGGGTCGCTGGATCAAATTGTGGACCCAGATTTGATAGGAAAGATATCGCCAGAGTGTTTGAGGAAGTTCGGCGAGATAGCTGCTAGCTGTCTACTGGACGATGGGACCCAGCGGCCATCCATGAACGACGTCGTTTGGGGATTGGAGTTTGCATTGCAGCTGCAGGAGAACGCAGAACAACAGACAAACGAAAGTGAAAGAGAAGAGGTTGGTGGAGGAGGTAAAAGCTCTGAGGGTAGCCATGACGATTTGTTCAGTAGCAGTAGCGGAATGAGTGTAGGGGCATTTCCGGAATTTAACAAGGGTTTTAGTGGAGTGAGCATGATGACAAGTAGCGGAGGCCGTAGTTATGGGACGAAGGAAACAGATTCGTTGATGACAGTGAATATTTTTTCAGAGATCGGAGATCCAAAAGCACGATGAATGGATAAAGTGTTGAAGCTTGAACGTACTATTTTGTGACAGTATTTTATTTTTCTGCGGATATGTCATCAGGCGTAAGCGTGTGCGTGGAAGTTGTGTTTTGTTAACTAGGATTGTAAGTTTTAATATTTTTTCCTTTGTTGGGTTAGATGTAAGCTGTAATTGTTAGTCATATTCTGACATTCCTGAATTGCTAGAAGCATTTCAATCAATGTCAAGTAAACAGTTACTGCTAATAGTATTATACGGCAGATTGTTTCGAGTTTAATATTTGGAAGCTCCGATTCAATTAAAACTAGTAATTTGACCAAATTCAATGGATCACTTTAAATGAACTCAAAAAGTTTTAGGATGAAGTCTTAGATTTTAAAAAATTTTCTTTACTTTAGACTCATTTGCTCCATTCAAATAAGTTCGAGAAGATATGAGTCGAGCTTGAATTTAAGTGAGCATAATCTGAATATTCAAAGTCTTTTTTCAATAGTAATAAAATAAAATTTAAATTAGATAAAAATTAAAAATATTTATTTTTTAAGATAAAAATTAAAATTGATTAAAAAATAATAGAATATAATATTTAACAATTTAAATATTCAGACTAATTCGAATAGGGCTGAATTTGAGTATATAAATATTTTTTAGTATATTTGAATATTTAAAGCTTGATCTGAATAAACTTGATCTAAATAGAGCTAACCTCAAGTAAGCCCGTCTCTCCTTAAGTACCAACCCTAGTTACAATTATTGCTTCACTTTTGCTATTTTCGGTTTACATTTCAAAAACACTTTCAACAAAAAGATACATACTTCTTTTTTTATTTGGAATGGGAAAGGCCACGGCAAAAACCGTGCAAAAGACAACAATCAAGTCATGTCAGCACTCAAAAAACTATTACACCTTAAAGGTAGATCATTTAAAATCTTGATATCCAGACTATCTTTAATAACGTGCCAGGCGAGCCAATCTATATAGTTGTTGGCTTCTTTATAGATGTGATCAAGGGTGATCATTCAGTCTCTCATTATAAGGTCTCTAATCTTCTTGATTGTTTCTAAAAGAGGGTGGTTGTCGTTGCAATCACGGTGAATGAGAGAAAGAGCTTCTAAAAAGTCAGTATAGATATTTATAAAACTTGCTAGTCTAGCATAGGTTAAGGCCTTCCAAGATGCCCAAAAGTTCAACAGTAGTGTTGGGGTAGTAGTCAAGATATATTGAGAAGCTTTTTATCTAGTTCCCTTTTTCATCACGAATGATGTCACCACAAGCAGCAGCCCTATTTATGCTAATGAAACCATCAGTATCAAGTCTAATCCAATTAGATTCTAGGGGTTGCCATTTAGCATGAGTTCTGTCATGGTTCATAGACTTGTGTTTAAGTTTTGATTGAAGATTCATATAATTTATTATTTTTTCAGTGCAAGTTAAAGTAATGTCTTTGGTTAGGGTTGTCTCCTTTAGAGAAAACAAATTTGCATCTTTCTTTCTATATGTTCCAGCATATATGAGCAAAAAGCCTCTACCAAGGAATTTTTCTTGTGGATGGATCTCCTGCATCATTCTTGGCATTTCGAAGTAACTAGTCTTGCAAGGATAGAGAAAAGAAAGAGTTTAGTTTAGAGTATTTGACTAATTTCATCATATCTCTTTAGATTTATCACAATCACAAAGGATATGGATTGAAGAATATGGAGAGTTGCAACCAAAAGGACAAGTTCTCTGTGCAAGGATCAAAGTCATTGAATTTGACAAATTTTTGTATGAAGATGGTCCTAAGCGGCTTTTTAAAGAAAGGATATAATTTTTTCATAAATGGGCCATTTCCATATCACATACCAAATGTCATATTTAACCTCACTAGAATTCTTATTGATGGCTTTATAAGCAAATTTAATTGAGAAGCTGCCATTAGAAGAAGGTTTCTGAAGAAGAGTATCATTATCTCCTTAGGGATTGGGAGGTTGGACAAGTAATATGGAGTTGATCACATCAGGTTGAAGGTAGCGTCTCATTATGTTGATATTCCAACCTCCTGTAGATGATTTAAAATCCAAGACTCTAGCGTAAAGGATAGAATCATGTTTAAGAAGGGCATAGTTGACAAGAGGCTTAGGAAGTGGTGACTACTTGTCATACCAAAAGGATATTTGATTTCTTTTTCCGACTTTCCATCCAATCTTATATAAGAAACTATTTCAAACTTTACAGATATTAGTCCAAGTATAAGAAGAGGAGCTAGTTTTGTAAACCATAGGGATAATGGGTTTATTGCATGTATTTATCACGAATAATCTTGACCCAGAGGCAATTAGGCTTTGAGATAATACTCCAACAAAGGTTCATAATGAAAGTAATATTTTGACTTTTAAAATTTTTAAACTTAAGGCCACCACGAGATTTGTCCTTCAAAAGGTGGTCCCAAGATATGAGGTAGGGCTTTTTACTACCATCAGGAGAGTCTCAAAGGAAATTACGTGAACATTTTTCCAATTCCTTAAGGACATTATCAAGAAGAAGCATGGTTTGCATGGTATAGTTGGAAACGGTAGAAAAAACAGAGTTGATGAGTATAGACTTTCCAATAATGCTTAGGAAGCGACCCTTCCAAGTAGACAGCTTAGAGTTAGTTTTCTCAATAAGAGGGGCAAAAGTAAGTTTTGATGCTCTTTCATGGAGAATAGGAATCCTCAGATATTTTTCAAGATTATTAGTGAGTGAAATATCCAAGTCATTATTGATTTGCATGGCTTTATTTAAGTTGAAATTTTTAGAGCAATAGATTTTAGATTTAGCAGTATTGATATTCTGACCAGAGCATTACATAAGGCATTAAGACATTTATTAATGATCTTAGCTTGATTAAGAGAAGCATATGCAAAAAGTAATAAGTCATAAAAAAAAATAGGTCGGAAATAGGAGAGCCATTAGTTGTTAATCTAATGGGCTTCCATTTCTTTTCGTCAATACTACTAAGAATACGGTGACTCAATTGTTCAATACAAAGAACAAAGAGATAAGGAGATAAAGGGTTCCCTGTCTGATGCCATGAGTAGGGTTGAATTCTTGTGAGAGATCTCTATTCCAAAGGACTTTCATTTGAGAGGTAGATACAACAGCCACAATGATTTTTCTGAACGATTATTTAGACCAATAGATTGAAGGGCATCATCAATAAAGTCCCAAGAAAGCCTGCCAAAAGCCTTTTCCAAATTAATTTTAAGAGCCATGAAACCATGTTTACTAGTCTTGTTTCTTATAGAATGGATGATTTCTTAGGCAATACTAATGTTATCGTTGCTCTGTCGGCCTTGAATGAAGCTATATTGGGTGTCTCCAATCAGATAATTCACACATCCTCTGAGATGATTTGCGAGAATTATAGTGATAATTTATAGCTCACATTATAAAGAGATATTAGTTGAAAATCTACTATACAGGCCGGTTGATCATTTTTAAGGATAAGGGTGATGAAGGTATCATTAATCTCACTAATAGTATCAGGATCCCTTAAAACTCTTTTGGCAACACTAAAAATACTATTTTTAAGATCATTGAACTTATTGTGAATGAAACCCATATGAAGACTATTAGGGCCTATAGTTTTAAAGGCTCCAATGTCAAAAGCAGCATTTTTAATCATGGCAAAAAAAAAATCCCTATGCATGGAAAGCAGATGTGCAGAGGAAAGTGTAGGAAAATTTCTTTCAGTATGCAACTTGGGTTTCCTCTGAACATATTCTTTAAACAAGTTTTTGAAATAAGAAACATCCATATTCTTGAGGATGTTATGGTCATGTATCTAGTTTCCATCTTCATCTTTAAGAGAAAGGACTTGGTTCCTTTTCCTCCTAGCAATAGTAGAAGCATGGAAGAATTTTGTTTTGTAAATAATTGTCATTAGAGTTTCTGTTACAATTGATTTCCTCAAGCCTTCTAAGAATCTTCCTTTCTTTAGCAGTAATACTACCAATATTATTTTTATTCCACTAAGTGGCAAAGGTTGCAAAGTTGATAGTTCCTTGCTTCTAGTCATTACAAAAGCCAAGAATCCTTGACAAGAGTTTTGAAGGAGTCTTCAAGCATCCAAGCAGGGTGATACCTAAAAGGTTTCTCAATATGATTGGTGACAAGCAAGTTATCTTGTTTGATCCTTATTGGTCTATGATCAGATCCATATTTAAGAAGATGATAGCTGTTAGCATTAACAAATGAAAGTCTCCAATTAGCATTACAAAAAGCCTAGTGTAGTCTCTCTTTGACATTGCCTTTCTCCTAAGTAAATCTATCGCTAGAAAAGTTTAATTCAAGAAGTTTAGAGGAATTGATGCAATGCCTGAAGGATTTCATGGATTTCCAATTAAAACCACAACTACCGCTTTTATCTTTACAAGAAGGGTAGGTATTGAAATCACCCACAAGAAGCTAAGGTTCTAAAATATTGCTTGCAAATTTGATGACAGAGTCCTACAGAAGTTCACAATAACAAGGATCAGGGTTTCCATAAATACAAGAAAGAAGATAGGAGGTATTCTTAGATAAAATATTAACCTTGCAATGAAGAAGCCGTACATTTAAATAAATGTAGTCAATATTCATTGCATCATTGTTCCAGAGAATCCATATACCTCTAGTAAAGCTAGTTGCTTCAATATGAAGCCAATCAAAGAAACTCAAATTTCTAACAATTTTGTCGGCTTTAACACCACTAGTTCTAGTTTCAACTAGAATAAGAATTTCAGTGTTATAGCATCTAGTAATTTCTTTAATCTTGGAAGGAAAACTTTTAGCACAAGAGCCTCTACAGTTCTAACAAATAATTTCTATAAAAGAAAAATAAAGAAAGAACTTGAGAAAGAATTAGGTGATGGACTCATACATAACTTCTTCAGTCTGATCGTCATTGAATTTATCATCTTCTAGATCTTTATCTTGAGCTTTGTTTTCAATTTCTTCATTGAGAAGATCATCATTACTTTCCACATTTGCATCCTGAATGCCCAAGTCTTTGAAAATTTAAAACTTTATCTCTATAATATTATTTTCACATGGTTGTGCTTTTGCGACTAGGTTTGGACAGTCAACTTGGTCAGGAGGTTTATTTGGATCAAGGTTGGATGTTGGAGTGGGAATGGGTAAATTTGGAGTGTTTGGGAGATTTTTCTTAATGTTGTGGTCATTCCAAATGTTGAGATTTGGAGAAAAATGATTTCCAGCGTTGGAAATATCCTTTGGGGATGGAGTGATATTTTGTTTGAAGATGGGTTGAGAAG